TTGATCAACATAGTTTTACCACTGGCAATTCACATATTTATGTGATTGGTATAGTCCGCCATATTGGAATAGCCGACAATTTCCGAAAACTGCTCGACTAGGAAACTCGCTCCTAGTACTCCTCGGTTGTCCTTCTGAGCGGTAGGATTTAGGCACCACACAGGACATAACTGGACATAACTGCAACAGTACAAACGGTGACGTAATGTCTATACTTCAACAGGCCTGGAAGCTAAGTGAAAAAATGCTGACGGCCATTTTGTGATCTAAAAACTTCCGCGTTTGCAATACCATTGAACGTGAATGAACACAAAGAGTCGTAGTTTAAATTTGTTTACCGAGATGGCTAAGTTGAGAATTAATCGGAAAATTGAAAAACCTGGCTCTGTTGGATGTAGTGGTATATTTCTTCTTCTGGTTGCAAATTTCCAGGTTGTTGGTGAGTTGTTTATGCTATTTAAGCTTAGTTGTTCCCCACAGAACTGCATTCCAAAGGTGATTATTCGTTGACCAGTTTTGCGATTTGGTAGTCGTGACAATTTGATGAGCTTGGGTAGACGGCATTAAGCAATTCGTTATTTCCAATTTGTGTCACAAAAAGTGGAATCTTGGATGTTGTGTTTTCAGCGACTTCAGTAACATGGACAGCACCTCCTCCTCAGTGGACTCAGACGGATCCAAATGATATCAGAACAGTTGATAAGCCAGTGTTAAATGGAAGTACTCAGGTGTCTCTGAGGTGGAGTTACACTCTGTTAGCTGGTTTACTGTTATCAACTCCATTTTCTATACAGTTGAATGATAGCAGCTTCGATGATATTGGAACGATAACTGGTGGTAATGCTGTAGTGTTTAACAAAAATGATTACCCAACACGTTTTAATATCAGTAGAGATGAACTGGCCACCTTGATAATAAACAAAGTCACTGAAAGAGAAGAAGCAGTTTACCAATGCAAGCTTACAACGGATTTAAACCAATGGAGTTACAGGATACGAGTCATTGTAACAGGTGAGAATGATGTATGAACTTTTATGCTGTCATTTTATTCTACTGATTCATAGGAATTGGCAAAATTCATGGTAAACCTTTGTAAAGGAGAGAAATCTTGTCTTTATTATAATTATCTTCATACCAGTTTGGTGTTACATGTTACATTACAAACTAGCGTAGTTTTGTTCACTTCTTACCAGAAATTTGTTATTTTCATGATTTATTTCTCAAAATTTAACATTTGGTCACAAAGCTTTAACCTTTTTCAAATTTGAAGCAATAACCAGTTGCCATAGATGAGAAATTTTTATTTATTGCTGTCTCATCCCAAAAGTGACAGCTGTACAGGTAGCTTAATTAGAGTTAAAGCTATTGTGATTCAATGTAAAATAAGTTGGTAAAAAATTGGTCAGAGGTCATCTGTTGAAACAACTCTACTTGTATCACCATTAATATTTTGTTCTGAACGAAATTACCTTCACATCAGTCTCTAAAATAAAAGCATGCATGTAATGTCAAGTACACAGATACAATCTCTCATAGGACTCTTGGATCGTAGGCTGCTGGCAGTCTGTTTTTCTCTCAAAGTTTAGTAGGGGTGCTAGGCAAAACGTTTTGGCTAAAGAGGAATGGGACGAGACATTAGCGTGGCGTGCACAAGAAGAAAAACAGACTGCAGACTCTTCTCATGTTTTTAAGGACAATCACACTTGTCAAAAATAAACTAATTAGCCAATTAACTAATTAATATCAACTATTTTTTGTGGGAGTAACATGAACCGATTGCTCAAACACTGGTGTTATTTTTACAAAATACCAAATTCTTTTGTCGGGTGAATTTCACAAGCAAAGCTAAGGTCATTCTTGGATATCCTCCTCAAGAGAAATACCTAACAAGCTTGCTTCCATACTTAAATGGAAAAACGTGTCATGCTCTGGGGATTGCTGTCGATTTTGTGGGAGTAAAGTACAAAAAGGCGACAAAATTTAACACATACTGTATCCACGGAGAACTTATATTTAAACTTCCCGGGAAGAAAGGTGTTGAGAAATGGCTTCTGGACAAACTTCTATTTAAAAATCTGACACTTTCCGTTTTCAACAATCCAAACGTACGAGGACAAATGTCCATGATAATAATCTACATGTACCTACTGTACCATGCAAATAGTTCTAATCACATTTGGGCCTGGCGTCACAATGTAGAATGCAAGTAAGTAGCATTTTCATGGTAAATCTCATATTTTGTCCTTCGAAAGCAGATACTTGGCGACTTAAAAACATATCTTGCAAAAGAAATGGGCCTAAAAAATGCATCAACACATGGCAAATTACAGAGGTGTCAAACTCGACGAAGTGGCATGCTATCACAGTGCTGGAAATAATTTTTCTTCTTTAACAGGGCATGTGTCCTTTCAAATCTTCATTTTAGGCAGAGATCTTATCAATTTGACCGGACATTAATTTGCATAATTGATTAGCATAATTAATTTATTAGCATAAGAAAATTCATTTATATATTCATATATTTCAATACAAATTGTTCAAAACTGCATTTAAATTTGATTTACTTATCATTCATGATTAACGAGATGAATTTATCTACCAGATGACTGCACCGATCTCTCCTGGTTATATGTTCTTCAAACAAACCTAGTTTTCTAGTGAATGCTACCATTGAAGGGACACAGTCAACTTTGGGATCGCGCTGACCTGGACACTAGTTTTCTCACTTTGAAAAAAGTTCACCTCTACCTGAAATCAAAGTACATCTAGAAATCCGCTTCAATCTTTGCAGTGTTTTGCTTGATTTTCAATTGTTTACTGATAAACCTGTTTTTGAGTGTGCTTTTGCTCATCCCATGATATTATTTTTATCATATCTGGTAAAAACAGTATGGATTGCATCTCTGTGATATGCAAATTAGCTATGAAATGGTATCTAATTTGGTTCTGCGCCAGCTGACTGTGTCCCTTTAAAACCGTGAGCCCATCACTAGGAGTGTACAACTACCTCAATTATTCCTGTCCCGGCATTTTCACAGACCGATCTATTTTTAGTTTGAATTTACCGTGAATTCAGACCTCTGCAGGAACCTCGGTGACCAATCACAAGCACAGACTTTATAATTTGAAGATTTATAACTTGAAGATTTGGTCGCTATGTCTACCTGAGGCCACCATTTTTCTCCTTACCACTGCACGCTCATATAGACCGGAACTGACCTATATCATGGGAAAAGAAGCCTAAAAATAGACCGGTCTGTAAAAATACTGTGACATGGGCTGAGTATGAGAGTTGCAGGCTCTTAGTGATGGGCTCCTGACCAAAGGTGACTCACAATGCATGTAATGCATAATAGGGTGATTTCTGAAGAGTACTCTATTTGGCAAGTACAGGAAAGATGAACACTTCTGCTTTATGATATGGCAGACGCCCATAATGGGCTCCTGGATATGGCCGGCTTAAACTGTCAGAGTCAAGGGTCCAAAATTAAAAAAAATCTTGAGTAGCCATTTGGTGACTAAGTGAAAAGAATCAAGTAGCAATTTTCTTCAGAAAAGAACGCAATGCATAAAATCTGTAAAGAAAAAAATTTCATGACTTTTTTGGCCGCTAATTTTGTGTATGTAGCTAATGCAATGTCTATGAAGGATTCATGCCTTACAAGAGACACAATTGGTAGGCATACATGATGTACTCAATGCTCAAGAGTGTGCAATGCATTATAGGGCGATTTCAAACATGATCAGCCATTTTGCAAGTTTTCCGATGTGAAGGAATCCTTTGCAGCAAAGCAAAAGGATAGATTGCTTTCTTTTCTTATGTTGAATGTTGTGGAAGCAAAGATCTTTCACTATGTATTTCTGGAAGGACATGACGTCTGAGAAAGTAACTGTTATTGATTGTCAACACAGAGAAACGTAGGCGCCATTATGGTAACCTGTGAATGCAGTGTATTTTCAGCTGTCGACTAAACCAGAATTTTTGATTGCAAAGATGAAATTTTAGCCGCAATGGCGACTGTACCAGGCGCAATTTTGAGCCTTTAACAATGTATTATAACCAAATTTTATGGATGGACAATAACTTGGTGTTGGTGAAATGTTCAGACATCATGTCCGATCATAATGTGAAATTGGCTGGACATATTCAAAATTTGGTCGGACAATGTCTGATGACCAACTGTTATTTCCAGCCCTGAGATAACAGCGGAAATCATGCAGACCTATGACCTCTAAAAATTTGGCCATAGCTAGCACGGTCTTTATATGGTTCAACTCTGCTTAAAATTCCTCATGACACAACATGAAGTGCCCTTCATAAACACGAGTGAAGCAACAAAAAGGTCGAGTGACCGAAGAGAGAATGGCAAATTAAATGTACAAATGCCACAAACCGTAGGAGTTGTGTAGGCTAGTCAGCCCCAATTGTACATTGATAATCAGGATGATCCACCATTGCATCGCTCGAGACTCTTTGTTGTGCTTTGTGCGAAACTTATGATGCTTTATTTACCCTTCTGTCAACTATCTGTCATCGGGCACATATTGACCAATCAGGTACTCCGTTGTTGAGCTGACGGTGGGTTTGCAAAACTTAAAAAGAGTCTGCAGACGGTTTTTTCTCGTCTTGCCTTCTTCCCTACAGCCACCGCCATACCATCCTTTTGCATTCCCAAGGACTAAACACTCATCCTAGTGACCGTTAGAAAAAAAACCAGCGGCCAGCAGACTGCTTGGATCGGCACGAGAGTATACATGCCCTGGGGAGGAGGGAACTCCCACATAAAAAGGTCATTACACCTTTTAGGGGTTAAAAAAGCAGTTTTGGTACCTTTTAGGGTGTTCAGCCTTAAAAGGTCCCCAGCAGGAGCTTTTGCAGTACCTTTTAGGGTATTGATAAAGATTTATGACAATGCTGCCATAAACTTCACGAGTGGAAAGTATTCGAGCAATCATTTTCATCACTATTAAAAATATTTTATATAAAGTTTACATTATAACGTTACATTATTGGCCAAATGTGCCAGGTAGTCTAGCTGGAACAGACTGTGACTTGAACACAAACACTCCTGAGCTTATACAGGAACCTATGACGTTGCAACAAGCAAAGAGCTTTGTTAAGGTAGCTGGGATTTCGAAACAGCAGCAGTGACAAAGAACATGAAATCAGTTTTTGACACAGTTGTTATTAGTTAATAGCAGATGCTGTTGTTCAGTCATGTGAATGAACTTCGGACTGCACTAGTTAAGAGAAATTGTCTATTTTCACGTGTATTGATCTTGAGGCCATGTATACATACACAAAAAAAGCCTAACAACAGCTCTTGTTATCAAAAGGGAAGGTGCCGCCTGTCATTGAGGGCCCAGCCCTTACTGAAATCCCTGCCTGACGTGGATTTGCTTGGCGATCTCACAAGAAATGGTGTTTTCCTTGTGGTAGCAGGTTTCAGACATGTTGTCGTTTACATAATTTCTTAGCATGCCAATGTGGCTGTTGAAGTGAATGTTAGTGGAGGTTCGGCTCTACATGTGCATGTATTAATTTTAATTACTTGGAGCATCTGTACATGTGCATTTATGTAGTACTACAAGTAAATTGTGCTGCTGTATATTTTTAACACATGCAGTAGTTCCAGCTGATTGCAAGCTCACTGATGCAGACAAAGAGTCAGCATCACCTGGACCAGAGTGTTGGTCAATGATATGGTAGTAAATCAAAGTATTACATATGTGCCTACATGTTTATAAACCAAAGTACTACCAAACCAACATCAAAAAGAGTGATGGAGATGTATTGACTTATTATTATATTGTATTACTCTTGTTAGTTCCCATCAAGCTAACTAGTGTAAGAGACCAGACAGTGTGTGAAGGAACAAACACAACATTGTTTTGTGAAGCAACTGGTAAGCCGACACCAAGTATCACCTTGATCAGAGTGCTGAAAGATGGTAGTGATGGTGAAGTACTGCCTCAGGGGCCCACTTCGAGTTTTTCAAACATCAACCGAACTGCTTCTGGAATATACCGTTGTACAGCTAAGAATGAATATCAAACTGATAGCCAAGTTTTTAAAGTGAATGTTACATGTAAGTACATTAAGTATTAGCTCTGCATGTAAGTCAAGAATATAAAGTGCTCTTTGTTGAATGGAGTTTCATCCCCACCAAAAATCAAAGTTGATC